CCCCGGGGCCGCCTGCCAGTGAAGTGGATGGCCCCAGAGGCTCTCTTTGACCGAATATACACTCACCAGAGCGATGTGTGAGTAGCAACACGGGATGGGGTGGGGGGCCAAAACCAATGGTGCAGGAGGAACCCCCTCAAGCAGATGAACTCGTCACCATACCCAGAGCGGGGGTGCCAGCTCCATGGGTGCCCCAGCGTCTCCTGTGCTTGCCCTGGGTAGGTGGTCCTTCGGTGTGCTGCTGTGGGAGATCTTCACGCTGGGTGGCTCACCCTACCCCGGCGTGCCCGTCGAGGAGCTCTTCAAGCTGCTGAAGGAAGGGCACAGGATGGACAAGCCCAGCAACTGCACCAACGAGCTGTGAGTGCGGAGTGGGGCAGGGAATGGGGCTGCGGCGGCCCCGGGGCACAGGCACGGGGGGACAGGGGGATGTCCAGGTGCTTTCCCAGCAGTTCCCAGCCCTGCAGAACATCAGCTCAATCTGTTTGTGATCATAGAATAGGTTTGGGATGAGGGGACTAGCCCAGCTCCCCGAGCATCCTCCTCCCAAAGCATCCCTGCAGCCGGGAGGTCCCTTCCTTCCATGTATCCCTGTATCCCTTCCAGCCCTGTATCCCTGGAATAACACCTTTCCTGGCCATGGGCTCCCAGCCTGAGTGCCAGTGGCCATTCCCAGGTGTTGCCCTGCTCCCATAGTGGGGTCCCAGGGCTCATCCCTCCCCTCTGCCCGCAGGTACATGATGATGCGGGATTGCTGGCACGCCATCCCATCCCAGAGACCCACCTTCAAGCAGTTGGTGGAAGACCTGGACAGGATCGTGGCCATGACCTCCAACCAGGTAGGAGAGAGGCACCGTGGTGCCGGCGCTGGGTGCTCCCCATGGGATGCTCTGTCCCATCCTGAGCCCATCCTCGGCGTTCATCCCTCCCAGGAGTACCTGGACCTCTCCGTGCCGCTGGATCAGTATTCTCCCGGCTTCCCGGACACCCGCAGCTCCACGTGCTCCTCGGGAGTTCCCACGACCCCCTTCCAGACGAGCCGTGCCTTCCCAAGCTGCCCCCTCAGCACACCAACGGCGGACTGAAGCGACACTGAGGGCTGGCACTGCCACCGGGGACTGCCGCACCGCAGAAGGGGGGGCAGAGACACAACCGCAGCATCTCACGTAGCCAAAACCACCCACCTCTTGTGCCGGGAGCTCCCTGCAGCCCAAAGGTTTCCTTCTGCTGTTCCTTTTCTCTTCCCAAACCTCTGCCATCAAGCCTGTGCTTGGATAGTTCCACTTGGTTAAGCCGGGATCCTCTCCTGTGGGCAGTGCCCGGCCGGGGAGCCAACCACCCATCCCGGGATGGGCTCGGAGAGCCGGGATTATCCATGACTTGGAGCTAAGTGGCTGTGCAAGGGGCTGGTCCTGCAGCTCGGCCGCGCCAGCGCCGATGGGATTTGCTCTTTGCTCTCCAAGCCCCCGGCACGTCGGGATCGGGAGCTGCAGCGGGTGCGTTGCTCAGAGGCAGCCAAACTCCCCCCAGTGCTAAAAGACAAAACTCCTGTGTACATAACGACAAATATGTATAAATATGAATATATATTTACATGTCTTTTTAAAAGGGTTGTTACCAGAGATATACCAGGCGGGTAGGAAGGTACTAGTGGCTGGTAGGGATCAGTTGCTATAAAAACAACATAAAAAAGTCCATATATTTTGCTACTTTTGCTGTTTTTATTTTTTTAAATTATGTTCTAAACCTATTTCAGTTTAGGTCCCTCGGTATGAATTGCTGCTGCTGCTTCAGTTTTATATGGGGTTGTATTAAACAGTAAGAATAACGTCGATGCCTTTTGGGAATACGTTGTCATGATGTGCCTGCCCCTTCCCTGGCCCTCCTGCGCCCCGTGGCACCGGCGCCCGTGGCACCATATTGGTGTGTGGAGTGGTTGTGCCGCGTGGGAATGGCAGCGCCAGCGAGGGGTTGGGATGGTGCCGGGGATGGGGCTGCACCCCCTGCCCCGGCCCTTGGCTCCCATGGGAAGGAGCAGGGGGCTGGGATCACGCCGGACCCCAAGGCATTGGTCCAGCCCCCCCGGGCGATGCCCACCAGTGCCTTACCGGGAGCACCCGCATCCTGCCCGAGCTCTGCTCCATGGAGCTGGTGCTGGGGAGGCCACGCTGGGGTGTTTCCCTGGTCAGGGAAGGGGACACGTGTGTCCCTTCCCTCCCTCCCTGTCACTGGCGTTGAGACTCCGGAGCCGGGCCGCTATTACTTGAAAAGTTTATTTTGCCTTTGTATGGAGAAATATTATTTGTTGTAAACTCTTCTGTAATGAATCTGGAATTCCTGTAATTATTAAAGACTTTAACCCAGACCCCACCAGCCGCTGCCCTGTCCCTGCACGATGGGAAGGGGTCCGGGTGCTTAAAGCTCATCCAAGCAACTGCTTTGGGAGAGGACATTGAGGGAGTAGCAAGGAATGGTGCCTGGTCTTGTGGGAGCCGTTTGTCGTGGCTCAAACATCCTCCCCTTGAACCCCTTTGCTGCCAAAACCAAGGGGGTGATGGTGACAGCTCCAGAAGTGTCACCTCTGGGTCCCTTCCTTGGGGATAACCAAGCACCGAGCACTGAAATGGCTGAGATGAACCAGCTGCAGCATCATTGGCCTCACTGGTCCTTTTAAAAGCATCTGCTTGTTGCTGTTTCCCTGCACAGATTAAATCGATCAGCGGTGTCTGGCCCCCCCCTTCCCCTCCTCCTAAATTAAGTAGAGCTTTTAATCAAGTGATTTATGTTGAATTCACAGCCGGGGATGAAACCAGGCGCAGGGAGCGGGGCTGGGGGTCTCCATCAATCACCGCTCCCCTGGGACACGCTTGGCAGGGCAGGGAGAGATGGAGCTCGTGTTCCCAGCACCAGAAACTGCCGCGGCCGCAATCTCCAGCTCGTTTCCTGGGGTTACCAGGAGGGCAGTTAAACAGGATCACAAGCAGAGCAACCGCAGCAATGCTGCGAGTGGGGACGGGGTGGGCAGCGGGTGCATCCCTGCATCCCCTCGGGGACCCTCCCGCAGCGCCCTGGGGATGCTGTGCTGCCTCTCCCCCAGCACAAGGGATGGATGCAGGGAGATGGGGATCCTCGCTGCTCTCCCAGATACAGCATCATCATGACATGGGCAACTCCACGAGATGGAGATACCCTAAAGTTTGTGTCAGCACCCATCGCATGGGTGGCCCCTCATGGAGCTGGGCCTTGAGCAGCAGCCCTGAGGGTGGCAGCAAGCCCAGGACAAGGCTGCAGGAGCAAAACCCACGCAGGACCTGCAGGACCAAAGCCATCCCCATCATCCAGGTCCTTGCTCAGGGGGAGCCTGTGGCTGCAACTGAACTTAGGAGGTGAGTGAGATGGGGTCCATTGGGAAATGACCCCAAAACAAGGAGGGATTGGAATGGATGCCTGTGGAACCCCCCTGCTCTGAGCATTGGCAGGGCATTGGTGACTGCTGAGCACTCAGCCCTCAATGGCATGTTTGGCTCTCGCAGCATCCTTTGTCTCTTCCACTCCTCGCCTTCCTCTTTCTCGCCTTTTAAAGCCCTCTGGCTCTGCAGGACCGAGACAATCTCTTGGCCACGGCCCAGGCCCTGAGCTGGGCTTTGTCCTGCTGCCAGCCATGGAACCATCTCTGCATCTCCACCCTGACACAGGGTCCCACAGCCCCCAGCGTATATGGGAAGTGAGCCCCTTGCCCCACACATCCCACCCAGCAGTAGGGTCCCCAGCAGGACCCAGGGGTCCGGCTCCATCCCCACCGCAGAGCCACATCCAGCTGCGCGCAG